CAGGTCAGGCTGCAGTGGCCAGGAGCGGCCACTGCACTCCAGTATGGGCGACAGAGTGAGACTCCAACTCAAAAAAAAAAATAAATCGGCATGTCTAAAAGCCTGGCCGTCAGCTTGTTTTCTCATCACCTTGCTCCAGGGCACAGCCTCAAGCTCCCCAAGCCTTTACTCCATTCTCCATCTAGCAAATACTAATTTATGCAGATCAAGAGTCCATTCCCAGCCAGGCGAGGTAACTCATGCCTGTAATCCCAGCACTTTGGGAGGCAGAGGCAAGAGGATTGCCCGAGTCCAGAAGATCGAGACCAGTCTAGGAAACTTGACAAGACCTCATCGCTACAATAAACAAAAAAAATTAGCTGGATGTGGCAGCGCGCACCTGTAGTTCCAGTTACTTGGAAGGCAGAGGTGGAAGGATCCCGAGCCCAGCAGGTGGAAGCTGTGGTGGCTGTGAGTGTGCTACTGCACTCAAGCCTGGGCAACAGAATGAGACTCCAACTCAAAAAAAAAAAAAAAGTCCACTCCCTTACAAAGCCTTTCCTGACTGTTTGACCCCCTTCTTTTTGCTCCTTTTTACCTTACAGAAACATCTGTTCAAATATCTGCAATGCTTTAGCTCACAGATCTGCCTTCCCTTAGACTAAAAGCCCTTTGTAGGCAGGAACTATGTCATCATCTTCATCTTAGTCTTCTCAGACCTAGTTCCATGCCTGATCCAAAGGAAGTCTTTAACAAATGTCTACTTAATGAATATATGAGTATGTGTCTGCCCCTGCTAATCTGAGCTCTTGGCTTTTAAGCAAACTACTCCAACGATCTTAGTTTTGGTGGCCTAGAATCCAAGTCCAGGGTAGCAGGAGCCCAGCAGTGCTAAGAGTGTAGCCCCATGAACAAAGAGCACTAACTACTGCATACACAGGTTCAACTGCACTGGCTTGGGAGGAGGGGAGGACAGCAATGTTCATATATGGAAAGCCAACCTCAACAAAAAAGTAAGTCCAGGCAACTCTGTCAATTATGCTGAGGAAGGAAAATGTAGCACAAAAAATTCCAAGCAGTGGTGAATCCATAGACCAATCACTAAGCCTTGAGACATGCATTATATCTTTGCAGCAAATCTGTCTTCCAGATTCCATCTGGCTCAATATATGTAATAAAGTTTGATAGGCACTTAATGCAGTTGTAATGCAGACCAGGCTGACAGCAGACCCGCAGGCCAGGATGTCCCCCTTACCTAGCACAGTCCTAGGTGCCTGCCTAGATGGCTCTTGAAGCTTCCATCCTGATGTTGTAACCAGGCCTACAGAGAGCCTCCACCCAAGGCTGCCCCAGCTAGGTCAAAGCCAGATTGGGCACTGGCAGGTTTCCCATTTCTCAGCCCTGCATCCACAGGCTAGAAAGGGTCTTGCACAGGCACCTGCTTCCCGGTGCATTCAGTCAGCTATTGCTGGTATTAACCTAAGGACTAGTCTTCTGCTACCTAGGATGGACAACATGTGAAAAAGGAGAAACTTAGCAAAGATGGGAGAGGCCCGGGAGAGATGGGGCAGAGGTCATCTATCAGGACACTGGCTAGTGTGAACTCCAGTGCACCGTGACAGCAGAAACCACGAGCAAAGGGAGCAGTATGCTCCGACTCTTGCAGAAAGAAATGAAGCTGGAGGGAGGGGGTTCAGAGCTAGAAAAGGAAAACCACTCTGGTCTGGGATGTCTTTGTTCCAAATTTTCCTCTTCCCACTCCCCATTCAGCCATCTCCCTTCTCACCTGACAGTCTCTTCCTGACCTCACTGCATCTCCCCAGTCCCCAGAGCACCTATCTCGCGAGGTCCAAAGTCACTCCAACCTCTCCCACTCTCAAGCCTCAATTTCTTCCTCCACACAGATCGCCCCTCTCTCTCTGTGTCCCCATCACCTTTCCATTTTTCCTTTCCCAGTCCACCAGCTTTCCCTCCCAGGGGGTACCTTCTGCTCTGAGCTCGCCTTCAGGTATCTACTATAGGCCAGCCACTCAATACTGACCACTCCCCTCAAATCCCCAGGGACTGACAGTCCGCCCGCCTGAACTGCAGCGGTCCCTTCCTATACCTTTAACCAGCCTCCACGTGCGTGGTAACGGGGGCGACAGCATTTCCTTGTCTCCCTGCTCCCGCCCCCGGAGGCGCTGCCCATTGGTTGCTGGGCTCCTCTTTCTCGTTCTCATTGGCTCCACTCCGGAAAACTCCAACCAATGACATGTCAGCACCTGTCTCCCTCCTCGATGCTGGACTCCCATTGGCTCCGAGGGCTCAGAAGCTGTCAGCTTGGCTGGAAGACGGACAAATCTTTCCTCCCCGGGGTAGAATCCGGGGCTGGGAAATTGGTTCCTAACTCCGCGGAACACAGCGCCAAGCGACGCCGGGTCACGTGGGCGGCGGTCCCCCATGACGTACGGGCTGCGGAGCGTCACCGCGACGTTCGGGCGACCTGCCGAGTGGCCCAGCTACCTCCGCCACCTGTGTGGCCGCAGTGCTGCCATGGACCTGGGACCCATGCGCAAGAGTTACCGCGGGGACCGAGAGGTGCCGCCTCCGGGCAGGGCCTCCCACGGGGGGAAGAGGGCGGGGGAGGGGGTCCCGAAATCATATACAGGAGGTGGGGCTTGGAAGCGCCCCAGAGGCTTCTGGGGCCACCTCGTGGAGCAAGGGGGTTTGGGGGTCACCCTCATGGGAGGAGTGGGGAGTCAAACAACTACCGGGAGAGGGGGGTCTGGGGAAACGTGGGTGAAAGTGGGTTCAAGAGGCAGTTTTTCCGTTGCCTGGTCGGAATCAACCTCTGTGGGCCTCAGTTTCCCCGTCTGCAATGGACTTAGATATTTGTTAAGTGCTTAGAACAGTGATAAATAGCTTACAAAATATTTGCTAAATACATAATTGGCATATGGGGGAGGTGTGACAGCCCACAGGGGAGGGGAGGAGAAAGCTCTCAGCTTCTGCCTTCTGTACCTTCTGCTCACTGCTTGCAGAAATTCTTTTCCTTTTTCCTCCTCACAATAGGAACCAAGAGAACTGTTTTGAAATTGGGATCCAGAGCCACAGTTAAAGATTTGGTTGCATGAGAGCATTTCTAGAAGTGCTTATTTAAAATGTAGCTTTTCATTAAACCTTACACCTACTGATTGAGAAATTATGAGGATGAAGCCAGGAACCTCTTTTATTTTTTCAGGCTTCCCTAGTGATTCCCATATGCAGACAGGTTTAACACCCATGCCATGAAACCCTGATTCAGCCATCACTAGCTGTGGGACCTTTTTAGGCCTATTTCTTCACCTATAAAATGGACACAGAATCTACTTCTTGGGTACTGTTTTTTATTATGAGGATATTGTTACAAGGACTAAAAGAGTTGATATTTGAAAAGTACCAGGTGCATAGTAAACACTATGTTTATTGTATGAAATAAGGCTGGCTGCAATGACTCAAACCTGGAATCCTAGCACTTTGGGAGGCCACTGCTGGCGGATCTCTAGAGGCTAGGAGTTCAAGACCAGCCTGGGTAACATAGCAAGAGCCCATCTCTACCCAAAAAAAGTTTTTAAATTAGCCAGGCCTGGTAGCATCCACCTGTAGTCCCAGTTACTTGGGAGGCTGAGGTGGGAGGATCACTTGAGCCCAGGAAAGCTATAATCATGCCACTGCACTCCAAACTAAGCAATAGAGCACCACCTTGTCTAAAAAATAAATAAAATTTCCTTCCCAGGCATTTGAGGAGGCTCATCTGACTTCCCTGGACCCAATGAAGCAATTTGCTGCCTGGTTTGAGGAGGCTGTTCAGTGTCCTGACATAGGGGAAGCCAACGCCATGTGTCTGGCTACCTGTACCAGGTGGGCATAACTGTGGGCCCCTCTGTGGGTGGGTACAGATGAAATAGGAAACTTAAAAAGCTCTCAATTTATGGCCACCAACTTTATGGCCCCAGCTCTGTTATTAAAATGCTGTGTGTTGGCTGGGTGCGGTGGCTGAAGCCTATAATCCTAGCATTTTGGAAGGCCGAGGCGAGAAGATTGCCTGAGTCCAGGGATCTTATCTCTACAATAAATCAAATAATTAGCCGGGTGTGGTGGTGCGCCCCTGTAGTTCCAGCTACTTGGAAGGCTGAGGCAGAAGGATCGCCTGAGCCCAGCAGATCGAGGCTGTGGTGACTGTGAGCGTACCACTGCACTCCAGCCTCGGCGACAGAGTAAGACTCCCACTCAAAAACAAACAAAAAAAGAAATACCTATCCTGAGACCCCTTGGTGAAACTCTCTCTCTGTCTTGAAATCTAGCACAGTGCTTGGCCATACCATTCATTTGACAACCAGGCATATGCGCTTTGAAGTATAAGTCCTTGAAGGCAGAGCTCTGAGCAGAGGAGCTAATATAATGGCCCCTTCTGTGATCCCTAAGAGTTGGATGATTGTATTATTTTGGTCCCTGCCTTAGGGCCTTATTAGTTTGCTAGGGTTATCACAACAAACTATAGATGAGTAGTTTAAACAACAGGAGTTTATTTTCTTACAGTTCTGGAGGCTAGAAGTGCAAGATCAAGGTGCCATCAGGGTTGGTTTCTGGTGAGACCTCTTCTTGTAGCTTGCAGACAGCTGCCTGTTTGTGTGTTTTCATGTGTGTGTGTGTGTGGGTGTAGGAGGGAACTCTGTGATGTCTCTTCCTCTTTTTCTTTTTAACTTATAAAGAAAAAACATTGACCTGTCGTGGTGGCTCACACCTATAATCCCAGCACTTTGTGGGGCCTGAGGTGAGAGGATTGCCTGAGCCCACAGGTTCAAGACCAGCCTGGGCCACTTGGCAAGACCTCATCTCTACAATAAATCAAAAATTAGCCAGGCACAGTGGTGTGTGCCTATAGTCCCAGCTACTTGAAAGGTTGTTTTTGCCAGGCTCAGCCTGTAATCTCGCGCCTTTGGGAGGCTGAGGTGAGTAGATTGCCTGAGCCCGCGGGTTTGAGACCCGCCTGGGCAGCAAGACCTCATCTCTACAATAAATCAAAAAATCAGCTGGGTGGCAGCGCATGCCTGTAATTCCGGCTACTCGGAAGGCTGAGGCGGAAGGATCGCCGGAGCCCAGCAGGTCGAGGCTGCGGTGGCTGGGAGCGGCCACTGCACTCCAGTCTGGGCGACAGAGTGAGACTCCAACTCAAAAAAAAAAAAAGAGAAAGGTTGAGGCGGAAGGATCACCTGAGTCCAGCAGGTTGGGGTTGTGGTGGCTGTGAGCGTGCCACTGCACTCCTGCCTTGGTGACAGAGTGAGACTCCGTAACTCAAAAAAAAAAAGAGAGAAACATTTATTTGGTTCTATGGTTCTGGAAGTTGGGATGTCCGAGGCCAAGGGCCACATTGAGTTGTGAGGACCTTCTTGCTGCATCATAACATGGTAGGAAGTGTCCACAGTGAGAAAGCATGAAGGAGATGGGGGAGGAGAGGGAAAGAGAGAGAGAAAAGGGGAATGGGGAGAGGACTACCAGTCCTGTCAGATTAGGGCCCCACCCTTATGACCTCATTCACCCTTAATTACCTCCCCAAGGTCCCTGTCTCCAGATATAGTCACATTGGGGTTAGGGCTTCAACATATGGGTTTTGGAGATCACAATTCAGCAGGGCCCCAGAAAGTGGCATCATACTTGGACTTCCAGGACAAATCTCCAGGAGTACGTGGGAGTGGGTAGCCTGACAGCCACATAAAGGGGGACTACAGCTGGATAAGGGGGTTATAGACATCTCGTGGGGAGGGTGGCCTTACTGAGGACACTGAAATGGGCTCTGACCACAGTGCTCTGCTGTTTGCCCCTAGAGATGGAAAACCCTCTGCTCGTATGTTACTGCTGAAGGGCTTTGGCAAGGATGGCTTCCGCTTCTTCACGAACTTTGAGAGTCGAAAGGGAAAAGAGCTGGTGAGATTCAAGGTCCCCCTTCCCAGACCTGCAGTGCCGGCCCTTGCTGCTGGGTCGTTTTCTCATGCCCGCCACTGCCTAGGCCACTTGCTCTGTATGCACAGGCTCCCTCCTGCCTCGAGGCCTTTGCGCTGGCTGTGCTCTTTGCCCTGAATGAGCAGCCCCGTCCTTATCAACCATCTACTAGATACTATTGATTAACTCCTTTCCCTTGGGCCTCAGCCCAGATGTTGCCTCCTCAGGAAAGCCTTCCTTGACTTACCCTTGTCAGTTGCTGGTGCTGTTTGCTGTCATTGTCACTTGCAGCTTTTCTTCTTGCCATTTTTTTCAATTTGTAAGTGTGTATTTATTTGTATGATCATGTGACTGATATTTGTGTCCTCTGCTAAACAGCTCTGAAGAGGTACAGGCCACATCTATTTTATCTCTGCCAGCACCTTTCCTGGTATCAGACACCAAGCTGGCATTCGTGTTTTATTTATATATGTATTTTTAATTCTGGCTATTTGGAAGGCTGAGGTGGAAGGATTGCCAGAGCCCAGCAGGTCGAGGCTGTGGTGGCCGGGAGCATGCCACTGCACTCCAGCCTGGGCGACAGAG